TGACTATTCAGGAGCGTGAAAAGTGAATTGCATGGAGGTTGCCTGGAAAGAAAGAATTCCACGTGGCCTCAGCATCAGCTTTCAGTTCTCACAGAGCCCTTTCTTGTTTGTTTTGACGTTTCATTGGAACATAGAAAAGTGCACAGACCCCAGTGTATAAGCTTAATTAATTTTCACTAACTGAACACACCTGTGTATTTAACCCCCCAGCACAAGAAAGTCACCCCAGAAGCTACCTTCGGTTACTGCTTTTGCCTGTTTACGTGAGTGGAGTTGTATACAGGGGGACCCCACAATGTATGCACACTTTAACAGCTGACAGCTCAATTTTGAAAATGAAATGTATTTTAATAAACACTGCCTTTGTAATTATTCAAAGTGTGTAGATACATTTTTTTTTTAGCCTGGCTTATTGTGATCAACATTGTAAAATCCTTCTGTAATGTTGCTTATACTTGTAGATCTTCACTCGAATAGTATTCCATTTATGGATATACTATGGACGAATAAAAGTAACCTCACAAGGTACTGATCATGAATTCCTAACTGGACAGGTATTGGTGGGTAGTCACACGCCACACCTGTAACTTCTTTAAAGGAAGGTTTTAAACCAGCCCTGTCCACTGTTTCTGTGCATCTGGATTAACACATCTTTGAAATAAGCCTTAACAACCCTGAAAAAAAGCACACAACCTTGTTAATTATCCTGTAATCCAATCCCCACCTGCCTTTCTCCCATCTCCATGTAATCTTCCTTAGCTCCCTCCTTAATCTCAAATGCATAAAAGAAGCTACAAAACTCTTATTCTCCGGAGCATCTGAGGTCTTGTTCCCTGGCACATGTCATCAGTTTGGCTCAATTTCTTACATTGACACTACAATTTATCCATTGTAATGCTGTAATTTCCCGTTTGGGAGTAGTGCTACTCTGATCATTCTCATACATGTCTTTTGGGATCATACTATGTATTTCTTCTGTTCATCATCACCTATGAGCGAGAACGCCGAGTCATAGCATATGCACACGTTCAGCTCTCCTAAAACAGTTTCTCAAAGGATTGTACCACTTGACACTTCTAGCAGTACTGACCTGGACCCTGCCAACACTTGGTATTTGCAGGCTTTTAAATTTTAGTCATTCTTGTGGGTCCCCATCGGAATTGTGTTTTGACTTTAATGATGAGTACAAGGGCCCTGTGTTTTGAAAGGTCAGGCACACAAGACAACTCCTAGGTTTAGGGACCAAAACTTGCCCAGGGAGTTTTTCTTCCATTTAAAGCAGTGGTTCTCAACCTTCTGGCCCTTTAAATATAGTTCCTCATGTTGTGACCCAACCATAAAATTATTTTCATTGCTACTTCATAACTGTAATGTTGCTACTGTTATGAATCGTAATGTAAATATCTTATATGCAGGATGGTCTTAGGCGACCCCTGTGAAAGGGTCGTTCGACCGCCAAAGGGGTCGCGACCCACAGGTTGAGAACCGCTGATTTAAGGAGTCTCATTTGGTTTAGGCCTGCACTGAAGGTGAGAAGTTGGAATGTTTCCCTTATGCCTAACAGTTCAGCTCAAACCATCTGGACCAAAGACTGGGCCAGTAACCAGTAGCACATGACATGCCTGGGTGACTTGTGAGGGGCCAGAATTCACGGTGGAGGTGCGTGTACATGCAGCTACAGCCAAGTCCTCTGGATCTAAATACACACAGTGCCCAAACTTTGCATGCCATTCCCTCCACACTACGGTGTAATGGGGCAGAATAAAGGTAACTTTCAGTTATGTGTTCAGTGTCAGCTTCCTTCCAGCCATTAACCTGCAGGAACCCACTCGGACCCCGGAGTTGATATGAAGATGATTTTAAACTGAAGACATGTGAGTGAGATTCAACAGATGCAAAAGGCAGCTTTTTCAGAGCTTCTCTTATCTGACTAAAGGCAGGATCTCCTGAGAGCCAGGCTGTAATCAAAGCCTCTCCCGGGGAGTTTCCCTGGCCAGAAAGAAGGGGGAGAAAAAAAAACGCTCACAGCTGCATAAACAAACATTATCACCAACTTTCTTATCTTCCCTCTGTTCCTCTACAAACCCAGTCTTTCCACAAAAGCCTTTTTCTCCCCCGCCCTTATATTTATAATATAATAAACATAATATAAATTATATTATAGGAGTCACTTATTTTGTGCGTTTCATATGCATGTGAATAAGTTTTGTCTCTTCTGTTAATCTTCATCAGTTAATCTGCAGACTCCTAACACTGAATCTAAATTGATAAACTGTTATCCTTCCCAACAACCGTTTGATTGGCAGCAGGACCCATCGATTTGGACGCCCCTCGCCCCATGACGCAATCCTTGGCCGATTCGGCACAGCTGCTCCAGTTCAAATACATGACTTTAAAGTCTTCCAATGTGAGTGCCCCAGGGACCCATGCGCCCAGCGTCTGGGGAAAAACTACCCAAATCCAATGTTAAAGCCGAGCGAGCGTTCATCAGTGTTTGCGGTGGTGTTTTCCCTGCCAATCAAGGGCCTTAGACCAAACCCAGCCTCCTCGGCAAGCGGGGCCTGGGGTCCCCCTGCTCCCGCGCCGCAAACCACAGGCCCCCCCCCCGCCGCTCCCCTCCCGGAGCTGGGACCGCAGAGCCCTTCTCGGGGCACCTGCGGGGCCCAACCAGACCAGCGTCCAGAAGAGGATTCCGTTGGTGCTGCGTGTGTCGTGCATTTTCAGAACATCAGACAGAAAAAGGACTGAGACATAACATTCCTCTCCTCTTCCCGGAGGGACACGAAGCGCCGAGTGTTCGGTGCTGACCCCGGTGGCCCGGGCTCCAGCCTTGGCTCCAGGCCCCGG